GAATTTGAAAAAAGTTTTACCAATTTTGCCCAAAAAGAAGAATGTGAAAATCACTTATAAAAGAATTTCACAAGCTGTAAAAACAACTCACAGGAGGAAGGAAAACACCGCATCCTTTACTAGGACAAAACCATTTTGAAATGTTAGGTTCAATCCCCATTGATGCAAAATTAATCCACTGCACAAAATGGGCTTGAAAAATGAAGAAAATATATCATAGTAAAGATTGTGTAACACACAACAAAATTTATTCAAGCATCTCTTAAATGCAAGAATAAAAAAGGTATTAGGATGATAAAAGGTCTTACATAATCAATTAGATTTGAACCATACAAACAATTGTCAACCTTTAAGCTAGTAATTGTAACAAATCGAATAAATCTCATGAGTTTGAAGGAAATCATCAAAGGACTACAAAGGGTGAGGGGGTAGGGAGGGAGAATTATTCTCACCATAACAATCTTTAGTTTAATAACAAGATGGATGAGCCATTAATGATGCCAATGTTGGACCACAATAGTAAAAATTATTTACTAGGTAAGGGGTTAGTGAAACCATTAGCTAATTGATCCTTGGAAGAAATATGTGCCACATAAAGGATCTATTGTTCAACTTAATCATGAACAAAATGAAGATCAATAGCAATATGTTTCATTCATGAATGCATGACTAGATTACTACTCAAATAAGTGGCACCAAGATTATCACAAAACAGTGAAGGTGAAGTAGGATAGGAAATACCAAGCTCAGTTATAAGATTTAGATCCCAAACCAATTCAGAGGATATAATTGAAAAAGCACAATATTCTACTTCCATGGAACTACAAGCAACAGCTCGTTGTTTACTGTCCATCCAAGATATAACATTAGTGCCTAGAAAGAGAATGTAACCAGCGGTGGATATACAAGTATCTTAATCACCAGCCTAGTTGGAATCAAAAAATGCATGCAAGGACAAATTGTGTTGAGGTCATAGAAGTAAACCATGATATTGTGTACATTTGTCATATCATAACACTCACTCAACAGCTTGCCAACGAAACTTTGTAAGACAATAAAGGAACTAGGAAAGCCTGTTGACTGTGAAGGATTCATTCGGGTGAGTACGAGACAAATATTATACCGCACTAACAATTTGGAGATAAAGTGTAGGATCTGTTAAAGTATTACTAGTCACATGCTACAAGGAGCAAAACAACACCTAGGGAGTATTCACAACCTTAGCTTTAGACATTTATGCTTTCTATAAAATTTCTCTAATGTACCTATGTTGGCTAAGGAACAAACCAACAGAAGTAGTGATAGCTTCCGCACCCAAGAAAAAATGGTAAAAGACCAAGATCTTTCAAAGGAAACTGTGTCTTGAATGAAGATACTAATTGATTGACAACTTGAGTAGAATTTTTGGTGATTAAGATATCAGCAACATAGAAAAGGAAATAAACAACAACCTTAGATTTCCTCATAACAAATAAAGAGGGATTGGACTTAGAATAGCAAAGTCCTTGAGTAACTAAAAAATTCTTCAATTCTTGATACTAGGCACGAGGGACCTATTTCAGCCTATACGATGATTTGCACAATTGACAAACTTGATCTAGAAAATTCTCATCAACAAAACTGGTAGTTTGTTGCATAAATATTTTCTCATCAAGAGTATCATTGAGAAAGACATTATTAATATCTAATTGCTAAAGGAGCCAATTCTCACTTATAACAATAGAGAGCATTGTTTTGATGGTTATCGGTATAATCACTAGGCTAAAGATTTCTGAATAATCACTACTAGATTGTTAATGGAAACCTTTTGCTACAAAATGTGCCTTGTAACACTCTATACTCCCATCAGCCTTACGCTTCAATCGAAAGACCTATTTAGATCTAATAACATTCTGATCAGAAGACAAAGGTACCAAATCCCAAGTGCCTTAACAGATAAGTGTAGAGAATTCATCAAACATAGCCTACCTTCAGTTTGGATCTTTTAGAGCCTGAGAGACAAGGATGTGGTGACCAAGAATAATTGTTTGGATTTAAAGATTAAGTTTTGAGATCTTGTTACCATTGGATGAGTACGGATAGGAGAAACTTGCTCAAGTGGACTCCACAAGGTGATGGATGCTAGAATTTTGATAGCATTTAAGGCTGTGAGCTATTAGATGATGATGAAGATGGAGAACACATGTAAAGGAAAGATTTGGATTTGTAGATTTGGATGGAGGTGAAGATGGGCTGGACAGTGTTGGGCTATGGGATTGGCTTGAGTTGTGGGTGGGTTGTGGTGTGGATGGGTGTGAGTTGATGGAGGAATTTGGGCCAATGAAGGAGAATGAAAGATGTGGATTCCTTGAGGTGAGATAGCGACAGGGGATGAGACATACTCCTCAGATCATGATGGTGAATTAGATGATGAATGTATCTCAATATTAGTTAACATTGGTCTTAGCATTAACCAAGTTTCTATATTAATTTGATTGGACATCGACACAGAATTTATCTTAGAAGGAAAGAAATTATTGTTAAACACAACATGATGTGAGTGAAAAATTTTTTGGATTCAAGATCAAAACATTTATAACCAACATTTTCTATTGAATAACTTAAGAATAAACAGTGACATGACCATGATTGGAGTTTGTTATTATTATAAGGCCTTAGCCAAGGATAACATGCACAACTAAAAACTCTCAATTTGAAATAATTAGGTTTAATGTGGAACAATATTTTAATTTAAAGGATATGGTTGAAGAAGGTGGTTGATTGATAA